TTTACTAAAATCATGGCTTAACTGCTTTGTATCGTTCAAAATTGCTTTTCGATTTAGACTCTGTAAAAGGTGTTTCTGATCGGCCGCCAGTACGGTAACTTTTCACAAGCAATAATTTATACACACTAGTCGTCTTACGGTCTTGGTATATTTCGGATGCAAAAAAGAATTTGTTAGTGATTGTAGCAGTTTGCATCTCATGGCGGCTAATGGCGAAGCCAAGAGTTAGAGTGAGTAGGGACTTGCGAATAACAAACTACAATAGTTTCTCACAATTGAATCTAAATATTGCAAGAGGAGGGGAGCGATGATAGTCTCTTACTACCACTTTCTTATATTTTTTTCAAGATATAAATACACACATTATAAGTTATAACCTTAGATAAAAAAAAAAACAAAATTTAAGCAACATCGTAACCCCTCATGGAACCATTGTCTCATGCATATCAAATGGTTTGACAAATTTTTAATCATAGTGATTGGAGAGGATGTAAGTATCCAAGTAAGTACAATAACGAATTCACTGCATTTCGTGCAACTTCTAAATTGGAGTCAAATTATAAGTAAAACTCATTTTTGATAATTGTCCCTACTTGACTGCCAGATTTCAAAATATTTTAAACTTTAACTTTATTATTCTCTCAATCGACTTTCTGGCTCCGCCATTAGTTACTTTTACCCTTTGCCCTCAGCCGGCGGAATTGCTTTCCCATATGTCCATATATATATTTGGTCCGGCAATGCTTGGAGATCGGTGACTCCAAGTGACGATTACTTGGTTGTCACCCCCATGGCATACGCCGAAACAGTGAAAGAACAAAGTATGAAAAGAAATATTGTTCCTTTCAAATTCATGTCTCACCGGCTTCTAATTATAATAACGAAAATACAAAGACGTCTTCATAATTCTAAGGCCAACGGTTGTTAAGAAGATGACTAATTCCTTTGGCGATATAGACAAAAGGGAGAATTGGGTTTTCCTACATTTGGTTAAAACTTAAAGAGGGATGTTTTGGTCAAGTTCAAATTTTGAAATGAACAACCCACTAATCATAATTTAATTGCCTCATAAATACCGTCTATAACTATGTGCATATATAATTGCATCATGATTCGAATACTAATCTAGGGATTTTTTCAAAAATAGCACTGTTTAATTTTTCCCCCCCAAAAATAGCACCAAACTCCGGAAAATTCCAAAAATAGCATCCTTTCTGCAAAACCGCCACCCGTACCAGCGGTTTAGGCGAAAACCGCCAACCGGGGGCACGTTTTTCAATGAAAACCGTACTGGTAGGGGGCGGTTTTGCAGACCGCACCCCCACCATGCGGTTTGGTTGCAGACCGCACCCCCACCATGCGGCCTGTTTTTTTTTTTTTTTTTGAAAAATCCTAACCTAGGTGGAAATTTCAAACGAATGTCGCGAATTTTTTTTTATTCCGCATAACCTTTTGAGATCTTGCAAGTCGAAGACTGGCAAAGGTGTTTGGTCCCGCCTTCGTCCCAAAAAATGTCGTTTGCTACCTCGAACGAGCTTTTTTCCGATTTCGTCACACTTTGGACAACCATAACTTTGTGCTCCAAAATCCAAACGACATGAATTCTTTTTTTATTTCGCATAACTTTTTAAGGACTACAATTTTTACTATGAATGAATTTTCAAAACATGAATTATTTTTGGATATACAGGATTTTGGGAATAGCTTACCTTCCCTTCTCAGCAATCCACATACATTTTGAAATTATGTCTATGATAAAAGTTGTATTCCTTAAAAATTTATGCGAAATAAAAAAAATTTCATGCCGTTTGGATTTTGGAACACAAAGTTATGGTTATCCAAAGTTTGACGAAATCGAAAAAAAGCTCGTTCGTTTGAAGTTTCCACCTAGGTTAGGATTTTTCAAAAAAAAAAAAAAAAAAAAAGACCGCATGCTGGGGGTGATGTCTGCAACCAAACCGCATGGTGGGGGTGCGGTCTGCAAAACCGCCCCCTACCAATTCGGTTTTCATCGAAAAACGCGCCCCGGGTGGCGGTTTCATCGAAAAACGCCCCCGGCGGCGGGTTTCATCGAAAAACGCGCCCCGGGTGGCGGTTTTCATCGAAAAACGCGCTCTGGTGGTGGTTTTCGCCTAAACCGCTGGTATGGCAGGCGGTTTTGCATAAAGGGTGCTATTTTTGGAATTTTTCGGAGTTGGGTGCTATTTTTGGAGTTTTTTTTAAAACAATGCTATTTCTGATAAAATCCCGCTAATCTAACTATGACTCTAGAGTCTAGACCATTTCTCCATTTAAAATCTAAACAAGTTCATCCAACCAACCTATTCATTCTACCATGTACATAATAAGTGCAATACGTTGAATCCAATAGGGGTGGCTATACGGTCCGGTCCGGTTAAATTGTCTCAAATTAATTCAGTCCGGTCCGGTCTTTTTGAAAATATAAGGACCAAAGATTGGATTGGATACAGTCCGGTCTTGACCCGATCCGGTCCCAATTCGGTATTGATTTTATATTGAGCTTGTGGGGATTTGAGTGGCTAAGGCCTGAAAGGGTGAGGAGTTGGTTAAGTTTTGTACTAAGTACAAAGGTTTGTGACCGTTTATGCAAATTATCCTTAAGTTTTGGGTGTTGAGCTCTCTTATCCGGTCTTTAGTTTTCAATCTGGTCCCAAACGGTTTTTACCTCAAATCTAAACCCAAAAATTGAATTGGATTGTTTTCGATCCGGGTTATACGATTCGATTTCGAGTAAAATAAAAAAACCTGGAACAAATAGCCAGCCCTAGAATCCAACAATTGATCATCTTAGTGACCTTCAAATGTCCCCAACAATAACATGCACCCCCCAATTGGATAACTCTTTGTGTTGCTCGAAATCGACCATGTTCTTGTGTTTGTGATTCATTGTGTTCTCTTTCTTTCTATCTTTCTCAGACCAATCATACATATATATTTTTGGCTGTTAAAAGTTGGATCGTGCATAGTCAATCACAAGTCATCGGATGTTTAGATAAACTCTATATACTATAAATACTTTGACAAGCTGATGAGAGCAGAAGTAACAGAACCTTACCATTTTTTGGCCCTGTTTTTCGACGAGAAAACTAGATCAACAGAGAATTGATTTTTACACCTTTTTGACTTCCAAACAAACGATTAACAAACACGGTCCACACCTCTTTGAACAAAGTTCAAACAAGGGTGTTCGATGTTCTTGATAATCTACGAGACAAACTAAATTACATTAACTCTACTCCTACAGAGGTTCAGTGAGAGCTCCAGAACTACAACTATGGCTAAATTTGCTGAGGAAAAGATAAAAGGATAAAAGTTGACATTGTGTTGTCTGATGTGATTTTGGCGAACCCCTTCTCTGTCATCTTTACCTCCTATTTATAGCCATCAGTAATAACGACTCCAAGAAACTGCTCTGCTGACGTGGAGTGACGGTTACCCTCTCAACTGCTATGACCGTTACCCTCTCAACTGCTATGACGGTTACCCTGGTGTTGGAATTGGGATCCTCTTCAGTCTTGACCCCCTCCTCTTGAGACCTCAACCTCTGCTCTTGGCACCTCCTCCGTAGTTTTGCTTATCCATAGAGTAAAAATGGCTAAGGCATGAAGGAATACCACGTACCACATATGAGTGAGTATTTGAATCACATGGATTAAAAATTGCAAATATTACTTCCATTAGAAGAGTAAAGAGACCACGTGCTCACATGACCCCCTTGCCTTGGCCATACTATGGGGGTGTACGTTGGTGACCCCCCTTGCCACCCTCATCATCTTCCATACTTAGCCACATTTTACCTCACCATTTTCCACCATGGGGGTGTACGTTGATGTCCGCCCCCCTTACCACGTCCTGGGGGGTGGTATGATGGTGGTCACCCCTCTTGGCACGTCCAGGGGGTGGTATGATGGTGGCCACCCCCCTGCCATGTCCAGGTATTCTCTACCTACCCACCTGTGTCGGTTTCGGGTACAGGTACCCTTTTGTTGAAGGTCGTTCGAGCTTTTCCTGGGAGTATGGCATGGGTTACTTCAGCGCCGTAGCGCCTGGTACTCGAACATTGGCTCGAGGCATTTTCTCTACCCCTTCTTACCCTGAAAAAGCAGGGACACCGTGCGTCCTTGAACCGATAACCATCTTTCGGCTAACCTAGCCTCCTCCGTCCCTCGGGACCAACAAGGGGTAGTACAGGAATATTCACCTGTTGTCCATCGACTACGCCTTTCGCGCTATGATGTCCGCCCCCCTTACCACGTCATGGGGGTGGTTCCAACACTTTGCCAAATTTTGGAATTGATGGCAAGGGTGGCGCGCAAAGTGGATTTGGCATGGGTGTCATGGACCCAAAAATCCAATCCACGTGGCCCATCTTAGTCGATTTTAATTGTTATAATTAAGTTGGCCTTATAAAGCCATTTAATTCCTTGTTTTTAACTGATGTGGTACAAGGTTAATTTTTGGTGTAAACAACCCCCCATCGGATGAGATTTCACTGAAAGTTATACAATTTGAACCTAACTATTTCCTCTTTCTGTCCGCCTCCCTTATACCTATCATTACTTTTTTGTCGTTAAAAGTTTAATCATGCGTATAATAAGTCAAACGACATCACATGTTTTAGGGAACTCTAGATCCGATAAATATCTGACAAACTAACGAGAGCAGGGGAAAAGAAAAACATAACCGTCCGACTTTTTTGGCACTGACAAGATCGGATTTCACTGAAAGTTATACAATGTAAACCTAAAACTTCCCTTAAACGAGTCAGTCAATCAATCATCTATATTGTCGCCACACATTATGGCGCGTAGCAATATCAGATGGAATTGTCCGATTATTTGGCTACATAGACTCCGCATTTTTCTTGTGAATCAATTAATCTTGGATCATGTAACAACCTGTCTTTCGTAATAAAGTCGTTACAAGTTATTAGTACAAATACAACCTGTATCGCGATCTTGTGACTATAACTGGATGATTATACTTATCTATTCCAACAATTCCAACTATTTGAAAAGAAAAAAAAAACGACAGTATAGGGGGAATTTGGGCGATTATAAAAACCGAGTAGTGAAATTTCGTGCAAAGTAGAAGCCAGGCTAAGGCAGCTGCGAAGGAAACAGAGGACCCAAAAAAAATTAAAATCAAGTCGTTGACCCTCACCACCCAAACCCATTTCCAAGCTTTCTCCCAACAGCGGCCCCTACGCCGTTGCCCCTGCTCTCTCTCTTCCTTCTCGTGCTCTATTAAAAAGCCAACGCACACTTAGCTCACGCCTACTAATAACCTCCCCTCCCCCTTCTCCTCCTTCCTCCAGCACAAGAAACAAAAACCAGAGCCCTATATCAAGCTCTCCTCATCACAAAACCCCAAAACAAAAACAGAGAGAAACAGAGCATCAGAAAGACAGAGGCGTAAAAATAAAAACGACCATGGATAAGGAAGGGGTGGTGGTGGTGTTATGGCTGATGTTGAAGCTGGCGGCGATATCGTTTCTAGCGGCAGTGTTCGTGCTGAAGATTGTGGTTCTGCTGTGGTGGAAGCCCAGGAGAATTGAGGACCATTTCGCCAGGCAAGGCATCCGAGGCCCGCCGTATCGGTTCTTCATTGGCAATGTGAAGGAGCTGGTGGAGATGATGCTCAAGGCTTCTTCTCAGCCCATGCCCACTTTCTCCCACAACATCTTGCCTCGTGTCCTCTCCTTCTACCACCATTGGAAGAAAATCTATGGTAACTACTACTGCTACTAGTTGCTACTGCTCAATTCTGGATTTTATTGTGATTTCGTTAAAAAAAAAAAGAGAAAGGTTTTTGATTTTTTGGGTTTCTGGGTTTTGATTCTTCCTCCTATTCCTCCAATGGGTTCCCTTCTGTTACATTAATTAATGAGGGTTCGTAATAATGTATGGGGGACGGGTACAGAGAACAGCATTTGGGTTTTTGCTGGGAAACAGAGTCATTAATGGCGGATGGTGGTGGTGTTCCTTCTGGGGGTTCTGTTATATGTTATGATGTGATGCTTTTAATTCTTTCCTCCCCTACCTTTTTTCCTTTTTTCTTCTTTCTTTTCTTTGTGATCTCATCCATCTCCAAAATTTCAGACTATTTTTTTTCTAAAACGTAAACCCCTCTTTCTTTCTTTCCTTCTTCCGTTCCACCTCTCCCCGCTTTTGCAACAGCCTTCTTTTGTCCAAGCTTTTTTGGACTGTTCCACTTGAGAGGCATGAGGAATGGAGCGGTTTTTTCTCTTTTTCGGTTTGGTGGTTTTTGCTGGGTTTTTCACCCTCTTCCCAACATCTATCATGGAATTTGTCCTTTTGTTTTTATGAATAACAGAGCAAGCGAAAGAAACAAAGAGAGAGGAGGGAAAGGCAGGGTCTCCTTTCTTCTATGGTTTTTGGGGTTCCCGGTTCTGATAATGACAATGAATGAAGTTCTAAGCTTCCAGTTGTCTTTTTGCAATTCCTCTCTTTGCTTCCCATTTTGTGTGCCCCGCCACCACGCCAGTCGTCCTCTCCTCTGCCTCTCCTTCTTCCCTTCCCCTCCTCTCTGAATTTAATGGTCTGCCTCTGCCTCCCTCTGCTGCTCGCTGTCTTTTTGTTTTTTTTTTTTTTGTTTTTCCTTTTTCACTTTCACCATTCCTTCCTCTTTTCGCTTACTTCTCACTTACTACTTGAGGATCTCCACAATTTCCGTCCCGGTGCAAACGGGAAATTCTGAATTCATCACACTCTGTTTTTCTCATTTTCATTTTTTTTTTCTTTAATGATTGTTTGCAGGCTCGACGTTTCTGGTGTGGTTCGGACCCACGGTCCGGCTGACCGTATCGGACCCGGACCTGATCCGCGAGATCTTCACCTCCAAATCCGAGTTCTACGAGAAGGTGGAAGCCCACCCGCTGGTCAAACAGCTCGAAGGCGACGGCCTCCTCAGCCTCAAGGGCGAGAAATGGGCTCACCACCGCAAAATCATCACCCCGACTTTCCACATGGAAAATCTCAAGGTAAGGAACAGAGCTTAATCAAAATCTTAAATTAATCACTAGTTTCCGACTAATTATCTCTGATTAATCATGGGTTTTTTTGTTTAATTAATAATTAGTTGCTGGTGCCGGTGGTGGCGGAGAGCGTCACCGGAATGCTGGACAAGTGGACCCAGGCAATGTCAAAATCTGGCGAGGTCGAGGTCGAAGTCTCCGAGTGGTTCCAAACTCTGACGGAGGACGTCATCACCCGAACCGCCTTCGGAATCAGTTACGAAGACGGCAGGGCCATTTTCCAGGTCCAGGGTCAGCAGATGCTCCTCGCCGCCAAATCGTTTCAGAAAGTTTTCATCCCCGGCTACCGGTAAAATTTCCCCCCCTTTTCAATTACTTCTTTAATTCCGAACTGCGGCGCTTTTTTTTTTAAATTTTACTGAGATTTGTTATTTTTTTTAAGGTTTTTCCCGACGAGGACGAATATGAATTCGTGGAAATTCGACAAGGAAGTGCGTAAATCGCTGACGAAGCTGATCGACGTACGGCGGGAGTCGGCGGCGGCGGAAGGAGGGAAGTCGGCGGCGCCGGCGAAGGATTTACTGGGGCTGATGATCGAGGCGTCAAAAACGTCCCCGAACAACGTGACGCCAAACGACATCGTAGAGGAGTGCAAAAGCTTCTTCTTCGCCGGCAAACATACCACATCCAATCTGCTGACGTGGACAACCGTCCTTCTCGCGATGCATCCACAGTGGCAGGTGCTGGCACGTGACGAGCTCCTCAGGGTGTGCGGATCACGTGACATTCCCTCCAAAGATGACCTCATCAAGCTCAAAACGGTAACTGTTTAATAACTTTACCTCATCAAATCTTTCGGTTTTAACGAACACGAAATTGTTAGAAGTGAGAACTATGGTTTGAGTTATTACTGACTTTTTCGATATAACTTGTGACTTACAGCTGAGCATGATATTGAACGAGTCATTGCGACTGTATCCTCCGACTATCGCGACGATCCGACGGACGAGAGTCGATGTCGAGCTGGGAGGGTACAAGGTGCCACGCGGGACCGAGCTGCTGATCCCGATATTGGCCCTGCACCACGATCAGACGGTGTGGGGGAACGACGTGAACGAGTTCAATCCGGGCCGGTTCGCGGATGGTGTGGCCCGGGCCGCCAAGCACCCGGCAGCCTTCATCCCGTTTGGGCTCGGGGTCCGCAGCTGCGTGGGCCAGAACCTGGCCATCATGCAGGCCAAGCTCACTCTCGCGATCATCATCCAACGGTTCACGTTCAAGCTGGCGCCGACGTATAAGCACGCGCCGACGGTCCTGATGCTGCTGTATCCTCAGTACGGTGCTCCCTTAATCTTTGAGAAACTGGCCCCGTCGTCGACGTCATCGGAATCGGTATCCAACGGTCTGGGTGTATCGATGTGAAAAGAAAGAAAAAAGATTGAAAGAAATTATCCTTCGTTGGGAAAAGACAAAAGGAAAATTACAGAAGGATACCCCAAGTAATATGGTATACATTTGCTAACCCCTAATGTTAAAAAAAAAAAAGGGAAAATGGAGGCGGCTGTGGGTTTTTTTCTTCTCTCTTTTGAAATTTCTTGGGGCCCTTTTTCTTAATTTGGGTTTTGACTTTTGAGGGTGAAACCCTGATTTAGAAAATTGGGATGAAGGTTGTTTGCCTTGCTTGTAATTTTTTTCTTATTTTTTGGGTTGATTTGGGTTTAGGATTATTTTAGGGGGAAATTAGCTAACAAGTAGGGTAGGAAAGGTTTTAAGTTCAATCTCTCCATCTGAATTTCTCTTGTGAATGTAATGTGTATATGTTCAAGAATCTCTCACAGTTTTGTAATGTTGCCTATTTGCCTATTTCTCGAAATATTGTTGCAATTTGTCTAATTGGACACTAATTGGACAATTATTTACCAAAATGGACTTGTGTGTACTCGAATAGAGAAAAACTAGACTTGACAATAGAGATCTAAGAGTGTTCGCAATAACATATATTATTACACATTTTCAGAAAAGAAAAACTTACATCGACATAAACACTATTAGCCTTGACATAAAATATTTTTTTTGTTACGTCCAATGGCTATAGAAATCGATTCGATTGAAGCGATCTGTTGAAATGATATCATATTAAGATAAGAATTTGGGTTCTTTTTAAAATCAAATTCATTAGGTTGTGAAGACCTCCCCATTCTGGAGTTTTTGCCCATCCCCGGAGAAATGAGGGGATTCCATCGGCGAAGTCGCAGAAGTCAGAGGTGCCACCATCGATAGTTGGGTAGTGGTGGTAATTGTTAATAAACATAAGTGAACATTTGTGGTTGGTTGGTAAATATTCATGAGTAACCATTCTAAGATAATTAGTATAATTTTAAGTGGTAATTAGTAATTATTTAGATGTTCATTAGTGATTTTATAGGGTCTCATGATCAATAATGATTACTGGGGTTAATCGATTAGCAAGCATTATAAGGGCGGATCAACAAGCATCCAGAGGAATTTTAGAATGCTGTAAAGACATCAGTTTTGACTTCATTTGATCAAGCTCTTGGGCGAAATAACGAATAATGCTCTCAACTGACAATATCGGCTTAGCGACTCCGGCGCCGGGCCTCCTACCTTCTGACCGACCGCCGGATACTCTTGACCCCCCTGTTCTCGTCACTGTTCCAGGGGCTATGGAAAGCACGGCCCCATCGGCTGGCTTGTCTGAGATGGCTATTGATACTTCTTCGTTGTCTGTGCAGGTACCTTCAGCGGATGCGACACCGAAACAGGGGTCTCATTCTACGACAATGGAGGCCACGGAAGGCCAGAGGAACGGGAAGGCACCTATGCAATCTTTCTCCTATGCGAGGGCAGTCACAGGCCTGCCGATCCCAACGACTCCCCCTAATCAACTGGCTGTGTGGACTCCGGTGGGGGAACATGATCTAATAACAGGAAGTAGAAATGGAGAACCGGCGTTGACGATCTCATCGGAATTCAAGACGAAGATATGTGCGCCCTGGCAGCGCTCTCTGGTAGTTCGTCTGCTTGGCCTGAAGGTTGGCTTCATCACCCTGTGTAACCGGCTGAAAGGCCTCTGGAGACCGACAGGAAACATGGAAATCAAAGACTTGGATCACGACTGTTTTCTGGTAAAACTCGACAACGAACAAGACTACTTCCGAGCTCTGACCGACGGACCATGGGTGATCTTCGATCACTACTTAGTTGTTCAACAGTGGACTCCAAGTTTCAAGGCCTCTGATCCTCTCCCGAAGACCATGATCGTCTGGGTTCAGCTTCCGGCTTTGAAGATTCACTTCTACCACAAAGAGGTGGTGACAACGATTGGGAACTTAATTGGGAGGACGATCAAGCTCGATTATCACACCCTTACTCAACAACGGGCGAAATTTGCTCGGTTGGCAGTGGAGGTTGACTTATCGAAGCATCTAGTCCCCCGAATCTGGCTTGATGATGCCTGGCAAAAGGTGGAGTATGAAAACCTTCCCGAAGTTTGCTTCGAATGTGGAAAGATTGGACATTGCTCTGCCATATGTCCACTGCTCAAACCTGCCGCATTGCCGAGTGCGGTGGTGGCCGCCGGTGGGGACTCGCCGGCTGACCCGTCAAGCAGCGAGGAAGATACCAATCCAGGATTTGGACCTTGGATGCTTGTCTCGAGGAAATCCAGGCGGCACTCACGGGATAGTCAGCAGAAGGGAAACTCCGAGCAGGATAGGGGCACGCAAAATCCGGTGGCTGGGCAGAAATATGGTAAGAGCGGATCAGGGGGGAAGGACGGAATTCAAGGCTTACCTAATCCAGCCTCTTCCAACGGCACCTTGCTTCAGGGGAGACAGACACAAGAAAGGAAGGAGGGTTATGGAAAGAGAAACGGCTCTGAGGGAAAGAAGAGTCTCGAATTGGGTGGAAGTTTTGTTGGGGGAAAGGGGAAGGGGTTGTTGGGCTCAAGACCGGAGATATCTGACCCTAATCAAAACAGGCCGAAGCCCAAGTCTGTAGTGGATGAGGCCTCGACGTCAGGCCAGCATTCTCAGGCCCAAGATCAGTTACATCAGTCAAGACCCACAGAAGGAAAAGATGCGGTCCGCCGAGAGACAAATGGGCATCTTTCTTCGCCACTCGTCTCGAAGACAATCAAGGGCCCAAACGGTACCGTAATGCAGATTATTGAGAGGCCTCTATCGGAGAAAGAGAACATCGATCCCAACGGTGGCTCTGCTCCCTCTCTTGCTGTTCGAACCAAGAATAATAAGAAGAGGAATTCCCAGAACAACAAATCGGCCGCTAAACTAAATACAGCGAAGCCCCTCCAAATCTGGTCGCCGGTCAAAGATAGGAAAGTTAAATCCAAAGCTCGGGTGGCTACGCTGACACTGCAGGAGATCAGTGCCTGGACTGAAGCAGCTAAGAAATCGACAGGGGAACCAGGAGGGGGGAGTTCGGCCTCCCAGGCAGCCGGCGAGCTCTTGATGAAGACCCAGACAGAGGAGACTTCCCCGCCGGTGTAGCCTCTCCTCGTCGCCGCGGCTTTCTTCTTCCTCTGCTTTTAATCTTTTTGTTTATGAATTCCAAGCTTAAAATTGTTGCGTGGAATGTGGGGGGAGCTGGGAGTAGGGCGTTTAGGCGAGCTCTGAAGCTGGTTGTCCAGACGCATAGACCAGACTTCCTGGTGCTCCTTGAGCCACAGATCAGTGGGGAGACGGCGAATGGTGTCTGCGACAAGATTGGGTTTCCAAACTCTATCCGCGTGGAAGCTGAGGGGCGGGCAGGCGGTATCTGGGTCTTTTGGGATGCAGAGGTTTTCTCGGTTCAGCCCTATTCAGCCTGCTCACAGCATCTGTCTCTTCAAATTAGTAGAGGTAATGACCCGAGTTGGATGTTAACTGCCGTGTATGCTTCCCCAAAGCAGAGTGACCAGCGTCATCTTTGGGAGAGACTGGTTTTTCACAGCAAGAATATCGAAATGCCTTGGCTCTTGACTGGTGATTTCAACGCAATTTGCAAACCGGAAGAGAAGGCGGGACTTCCAGCTAGCAATACCTTGAGAAGATGTCATCTGTTCACTGAAAGGATGAATATGGCTGAGCTTGTTGACCTTGGGTTCTCAGGCGCCAAGTTCACCTGGTCCAGAGGCGGGAACGGTCAGACGTATAAAGCTAGCCGGCTAGATAGGAGTCTTTGCAACATCCGATGGAATTCAGTCTTCCCAAACTCTTCAGTGCTGCATCTCCCTCGATATCAGTCTGATCACTGTCCCATTTTGACTTGTGTGGAGGTTCAGCCGGTCAGGGAGCAGCCTATGAAGTCTTTCAAATTTGAAGCAGCCTGGTTGACAAATGAAAGCCTTCGCTCGGTTGTGGCGGAGTCTTGGGACTCGGCTGCTTCTCTTGAGAGTGCTCTCCAGGGTCTTGCTACTAAGCTTGTTGAATGGAATGGGGCTGTTTTTGGGAACATTAAACAGAGAAAGAGGAGGCTTCTGGCAAGACTCAAGGGGGTGGAAGTGCGTTTGGCTAATTGTTTCTCTTCCGGGTTGGCTAAGCTGCATCTAAAGCTAGCAGCAGAATTGGATAAAGTCCTGGAACAGGAGGAGATCATCTGGTACCAGCGGTCAAGGGATCAATGGGTCAAGTTTGGAGAAAGGAACACCGGTTACTTTCACCAACAAGTTAACATCAGGAGACGCTTCAACAAGATTGAGGCCCTGCTGGATGATAATGATTCGTGGGTAACTGAGCCGGTTTCTCTCGCTTTGCTTGTTTTCAACTTTTTCTCTAATATGTATTTGCAGGATAATTCCCCGTACGAAGACAGGATGCCGAAGGAATCTTTTCCGCGGCTCAGCCAAGCAGAAACGGCAGCTTTGTTCCGTCCTTTTAATATTCTTGACATCCACAAGGCGATCTTCGATATGAAGCCATTCCAGGCCCCCGGTCCAGATGGTTTCCATGCGGGGTTTTACCAGCAGTTCTGGCAGGTTGTGGGGAAGTCCCTTTCAGATATGGCAATGTCTTTTTTTATGACAGGTACTCTCCCTGGGGCAGTGACGGAGTCTACTCTAGTGCTAATCCCGAAAGTGGATTCTCCGGAGAGGGTGTCTCAGCTACGGCCTATTTCTCTTAACAATGTTTGCCTCAAGAGTATCACCAAGGCCATGACGTCCAGACTTAAGCCTCTCATGAGGAAGTTGATCTCACCCAGGCAGAGTAGCTTTATCCCGGGAAGGCAAACAACGGATAATATCATAGTGGTTCAGGAAATTCTCCACTCCTTCAACAAGAAAAGAAGTAAAAAAGGGGGCATGATTTTCAAGATTGATCTAGAGAAGGCCTATGATATGCTTAGGTGGGATTTTCTGCGAGATACGCTGAAGGAGGTGGGGCTCTCGAGCAGTTGGATCAATGGTATTATGTACTGTGTGGAGCACAATACGATGAGGATTAGATGGAATGGAGAACTCTCTCAGCCGATCACCCCATCCCGTGGCATTAGACAGGGAGATCCTCTCTCTCCCTACCTCTTTGTCTTATGTATGGAGCGCCTTTCTCACAAAATTGATGGGGCGGTTAGTGAGGGAAAATGGAAAGCGGTGAGGCTCACCAGTTCCGGCCCGCCCCTTACTCATCTCTTTTTTGCAGATGACCTTCTTCTTTTTGCAGAAGCAGAACGAAGACAAATCCGGGTAATCAAGAACTGTCTGGCGGATTTTTGTTATAGCTCCGGACAACGGGTCAACTACAGTAAATCCATCCTGTACGTTTCCCCGAACGTCGCGCGGCATAAAGCAGAGTTCTTGAGCCAGTGTGCGGGAATTCCTCTGAAGGCAGCTCTGGGGAGGTATCTCGGAATTCAGGCTATCCAGGAGAGGGTCACGAAAGGAAGATATCAATCTCTTCTTCTCCGCATTCAGAAGAAAATGGCTCCCTGGAAAGCGAAACGACTCTCTTTCGCGGCCCGGCTAACAGTGGCGAAATCGGTAACTGCCTCTCTCCCGGTTTATACTATGCATACTGAATTAATTCCTAAGGGTGTGTGCAGGAGTATAGATAAAATCAGCAGGGATTTCATCTGGGGGGAGGAGGAGAATCGACCCAAATTCCACCTGGTGGCGTGGGAGAACATGACGAGAGCGAAGGATCAAGGAGGGGTAGGCCTTCGACCAACTCACCAGGCAAACTTGGCCATGCTGGCTAAGTCAGGTTGGAGACTGATGCGGAATGAAGGAAGTTTGTGGCAACAGCTTCTCCTCTCCAAGTACGGGGGTCAAAGAGTGGGCCTCGACGTGTTGCGGAAAGTTCAGGGAAGTTCCTTCACCTGGAGCAGTTTCTCCAAAACTGCTGAACTCCTTAAGAAAGGATGTGCTTGGAATATTAAAAATGGGAAAAAGACTAAATTTTGGATGGATCCGTGGATTTTGCAGGTCCCTCTGAAAGAAGTGGCGATTGGTGAAATCCCGGAGGATTGGGAGCAGGCGACGGTAGCAGAGCTAGTTCGTGAGGATGGGAGCTGGCGCACGGAACTCTTCAGCGAGCTACTCCCCCAGTATGTCTGCAGTAAAATCACCAGCATAGCGGTTGACACCCTTGCCCAAGAGGAAGACTCGTTGTTCTGGACGGTGGCAGCAGATGGTAGATTCTCTGTCAAGTCGGCCTATGAACTGCTGTCGGCGTCTGATAGGCAGCCGAGGGATGAGATTTGGAGGGTGATCTGGGGGTTGCCTGTGCCGGAAAGGGTTAGGTGCTTTATTTGGTTGGCTTTCCAGGGCAAGATAGCAACCAATGTCCTCCGGGTTCAGAGGAAAGCAGCGGATTCACCTATGTGTTTGCGATGCACAGGGCAGCCTGAGACGGTTCTTCATATCCTGAGAGACTGCGCCCCAGCGCTTTTCTCCTGGTCCAGATTTGTGTCGCAGCAGAAGCAGCATGAGTTTTTCAGCACCGATCACGAGGTTTGGTTCCGCAGCAATCTATTGAGTAAGGAGTCGACCAGCTCCGGTATCGAGTGGCCTGGTTTTTTCAGCATGGCTTGCTGGTTATTATGGAAAAACCGCACGACTATGGCTTTCAAGGGACCTGGCGCAGCGATGACAGCACCCTCTCTCATGCACTCCATTATGGTTAAGACCAAGCTGTGGAATGATTCATGGCATGCACCAGATCCGTTCTCTAACCTCAGGAAGCAAGCGATTGTGCGGGTAAGGGCGGACATTGGTTGGACTCCGCCAGCGGAAGGTTGGGTTATGGTTAACACTGACGGGGCTTCCAATGGAAACCCCGGGGCAGCAGGCGCTGGGGGAGTGGTGCGAGACCCGCTGGGGAACTGGTTGGGAGGTTTTGTGGCAGGAATTGGCTCGGCAACTGCCGTGCTGGCAGAATTATGGGCTATCTACTATGGCCTGGAGCTTACTTGGAAACTCGGTCACCGGGTGGTGAAGCTAGCATCAGATTCTCAGCTTGCGATTCAGCTGATCCAGGAACGTCATGATCCGATCCATCCTTATGCGACCCTTTTGAATCTTATCCGCAGGAAAATTGGTCAAGATTGGTTGGTCAGCTTGTCTCATACGTATCGCGAAGGGAATAGAGTCGCGGACTGGCTCTCGAAGCACAGTCTCGTCTATCCCTACGGTATGTATGAGTTGGATGATCCACCTGTGGGAGTTCTCCCACTGTTACAGGATGATGTGAT